TAGATAACAAGGTATACAGCTGGATGAACACAGCAGGCCAAGCAGCATGAGAAGAGCAGGAAAGCTGACATTTCGGGTCGAGACCCTTCTTCAGAAATTTCTGAAGAAGGGTCTCGACCTGAAACGTCAGCTGTCCTGCTCCTCTGATGCTGTTTGGCCTGCTGTGTTCATCCAGCTCTACACCTTGTAATCTCAGATTCTCCAGCATTGGCAGTTCCTACTATCAGTGTAATTTCCTATATTTGAAGAGAACAGTGACAACAACCTTCATCATGAACAGGTTTGTGAACTGACATACTTACACAATGGTTATCCGCTACTGTATCTTTGTACAAAAGTAGTAACAAGTATTGATTTGGATTGTTAATCCTCTTGAAAACATTAACATACATACATGCGCACACAAAAATAATTGAATTTCTAAAGCTGTTAAATATGTCACAGCTGTGACAATCCATCTGCCATCTCAGCTGACAGAATCCAATCAACTGAGGAAAGTGTATTCAAATGAAAAGGACTAAGAGTTGAATTCACTACCTTCTGAATTGGCCATTTGAGCTGCATGTTAAAATATTATTTAAATCTGGAAAAGCTGCAATATGAGCGTTGGAGAGAGACTGTAAACTAAGCTACTTGATGTCTTTTTACACAGACTCCCGGAGAAGTCTCAGCTGTGGACAGCAAATATTTGACAATTATATTAGTATCATTTAAGAAACATGAGTGGACAATGAATTACTGAAACCAGAGCTACCTACCTAATGGTTGGACTGAGGAAGTGGTTGAAATGAATCTATTCTCAGCACTGTTACTCATTCACGTGCACACAATTCAAACTCAAGGTTTCCAAATTAGCATGATTTAACGCAGGTGAGTTACAAAAGTGCGCTGACCAATATTTACCCTTCAACTGACATCACAAAAACTGCCTGGTCATTATTACATTGCTCATTGTAGGAGTACACTATGTGCAAAACCGTTGCCAATATGCAAATGATTCTAGTATTAAAAATTACTTTATTAACTACAAAGTGTATTGAGAGGTCCGATCATGAAAAGTACTATATAAATGCAAGAATTTCTTTTATTTCTATTTGTTAAGGAACATTTCTGTAAATATGCCATTTGTGCTGGTCAACAATCAACAATACCACAGATTTTACATATAAGTTTTAAGGTGAACATTGCGAAATTTCAAACTGACAAATACAGAATGCAACAAAGACAGCATGTTTCTGATAGTTCTGATTATATGAATACAGCTGTGAAAGTAAACATATTAATTTCAAGCTAGCAAACTTCTGAACAACCACAATAATAGAACTAATAACGATGGCAATAAATCAGTATGACCTTGCCAAAGATAGAATAATTGCTTCACCACTTTGGAGCTTTGAGCAAGGAGCCATACTCAAAGAGAGTATGAATTAGAGCATTGGCACAACACTGCAAGCTGATCTCAGCTCACTTTGAACATGGATTGCTCCTGAAAACATGGGATTGCCGAGTTTATTCTATATAGCTAACTTCTGTGGTTTAAAATGATTGTTCATTAACTCATATTACTCGTGTCATTCTGGCATTATATCTGTGAAGAAATCAATGTGTTAATCAGGCAAAAGTTAAATCTCAAATCCATCCATTTTCCACTTCCTTCACAAAGATTTTTCCTACAGCATTCATTTTATTCCATAGAGCATTAAGACCTAAAAAATGCAAGGACATTTCTTTCTTCTTTTTCAGTATAATGGCTCAGGTGAATGAACCGCAACATTAGGGAGAAAACATGCCAAGAAGATTGCATTTCATACAGTGTATGTTCAAACAGTAGTTAATAACATGCATGACCCTTGACCTTAATTATTCATGATGTGGAGGTGCCGCTGTTGGACAAGGTCAAAAATCACACGACACTAAGTTAAAGTCCAACAGGTTTAATTGAAAACACTGGTTTTCAGACGTTGCTCCTTCATCAGAATAACACTTTATATATCATATGCAAAAGTTGATACCTGACATTTAGCTCAAAAATCCTTTTAAAAATGCCTTGTGCTAGTTTTAGGAGTGCTGTTGATGGAAACTATCCAGTGAATGCTTTTGACACTCTCGAAATTGCTCTTTTCTCATTTAAACAGAAACACGGATAGATAGAATGGGACAAAGGTTCCATGCTGAATTCAGCACCATGGTCAGCAACCAGTAATATTACTATTAGTTCGGCACAGATTTCCACTCCTTGATTGCGTTTCCCATGTAAGAAGTCAACAAACTACTTTTTGCCTAAATACTTGATCTTAAAAAACCTGATCCTTACATGCGTATATTGTGATGTAAGATGTAATTTTAAAATACTTCATTCTAATGTTTTTGTGAATTTGAATTTTCTGTGTTTAAAGGTGTTTAATGAGTAACTTGCAATTATTTCTGTATCCACGGTGATTTTTAAAACAAAGTGAGAACGAAAGACTTACTGGAGAGTGGCGGGTTTGTTTGGATTATTAAGATAATTAGGATAATTTTACAAGTAAACAAGGTAAACATTTGTGCATTAGACTTCAGTTTAGAAATTCAGGATTTTTTAATCTTTCTTTTGATTACGGGCAACACACATAGCTTAGGAAAAATAAAACAGGTTTTTGTTTTAATAACTTACATTTGGGGCAGTTCTGCAGGCCTTGGCTGAAGCTAGGTGTGTAAAGCAGTTGCTCCTGCAAAATCGAGTTACTTTTAACTGTTAAAAGTAAACGTTCTGGACCAGAAGTGTTTGGTTAAAATCCTGAAGAGGTTATTTAAAGCTGAGGAAGTTTAAGCTCAGTTGCATGAATGCTGCAGGAAGAGGCTGTCAAATTTCAAGACCACAGCTGAAACCACAGTTAACTTAAGCCCTGTAGGGATGATGGAAATGAGAGTTTTCTCTGGTGTATGAGTATTGTAAAGACATGGCTTTGAAACTAATGGGATCATATTTTTACTGTGTGGTTTGAAATCTTTAAGTGTATGTTATATGTATAGAGAGCAGATTATTCTATTTTATTTTCATTTCTTATGCAGAAGAGAATTTTTCATATAGTTAAAACCAATCTGCAACTTTGCATGCATATGCTTCAATCAGTGGCCACGAGAAAGAAAATATGATCTATCATGCCTTATTTCAATCTGGGATATGACTTGTCCAGTAATAACATTGGCTGACATCATAACAAATTCAGTATGTAACCAAAGGTATCCATACAACAAAATCACAAATATACCGAATAATTATAACACTTCGTATAAGGTGACTTCATATAAATATGCAATTATTATGAGTACAGTCACAGTTCTTACCTCAGGCGGTCCTCTCACATTATCAAGCTGTTCAGCTCCAACTTCCAGGGCAACATCAACAGATGCAAAAGGACGACTAGCCATCTGCTGTCTTTCCCTCATGAGTTGCTGTTTCAAAAAAAAGTTAGAGGTTTTTGAAAATTTGGGACATTACATAATGTTGAGGAAATATGAGAGTTTGGAAACATTATGTTATCACTTTTTAAAGGAAAAACTCATGTATACTTTCAGATCTGTAATAATATTGTCACACCATATCAAACAAATTTGAGAGTTTTCTTCTCATTCTCTGTCAAGTATACTGCTACACATGATTTAATTTCATTATATTCTGTAACAGTGTTGCATTCAGTTTTCAGAAAAGTTCATTTTAAAAATTAACGTGAAGACAAACATGTTTCAAGCAACAATTACGAAAATAATTTGCAATTGTTTCACGGGCAAGTGGTCAACCAATATGACTTCAAGTTTCAACCTGTGTCAAACTAATGACAATAGTGACTCAAAACTATATTATTGCAATAATTCAAAAGACCCAAGGTGTTTAATCTATGACGTAGCATCTAGCCACATATATTTCCACTGTAGATTTGGTATTGTATATAACTATATTTGCAATAATACTAAAATTTTAAAAAGTATTTGATTATTTCCATTTCATCTGATAATACTTGAATTAGATTATCATAAAACATCATACCACAAAAGAAATATTATATTGGAATATCACTTGTTGGAAAACAGGTAATGAATGAGTTAAAGATCTGCTTGAAATAAGGCTTTGATCAATCTTTTAGCAGATCTTTTTCCCCAAAGAATTAATTTACTGAAGAAAGATTCTTTTCATCCACAATCAATATGAAGCAAGCGTTGACTTTTATTTCAGAGACTTATACTGTCGGGAATCCAAACTGGACAAAATCCTTATAATATTTTTCACTTAATGTGCTAAGGGCTTATGTTAAACATCTAAGTAGCTTGTGACTGAATGCTTTAGAGTTGCTTTAAAAAGGTACTTAAAGCTTTTAAATCAATCTTAAAAGGTATTTAATTCTCCCTAAAGACCAGGCTGACCCTATTCCTGTGCCTTTCAGTTAATCAAGAGGATCTAGGAAAATCCAAAAAAAAGTGATAATTTTGCTGTTAGCAACAAGAGTCATTTCCATAACCTTGGAGACAAAACTCGTTATTTGAATAATATGTATAGGTTTCAAGCAAGTAGTTGATTAGAAAAGAAAAGCTTTTCCTCTTTTCGTACTGCAGAATTTTCTCAGGGTTGTGTAATCTGAAGCTTGTATTGACTGGAATTAAATAAAAAAGATTAATGATCCTAGCATGAGTTATTTTCAAATGCTGCAAAGTTAGTCTATTATCCACTATGTTTTCAGAAAGGGAGGTCACAAGAGGCGTAGTATTGCCCAGCAATAAATCACCTTGTCCTCAGTCACAAAAAGAATTGCTACCCAACCTCTGCAAATTGCAGATGATACCAATCCCTTTAAAAATACTCCACCATGGCTTACTCACTTTATCTCTCTGCTTAGCAAGGTATTGTCTTTTTAAAATCAAGGACCTTACTGAAGAGAAATATGATTTAATGGCATATGACAAATGATTATTCTCCTTTAGATTCTCCTGAAATAAAACAATAATTCCCCATGATCACAGCTCTTTATTAAATTTAGGCATATATATTTCCATGGATGATCACAACTAACTTCCATTGCTATCCTCAGGAATAACATTCCTAACAATGTTGGAGTTGGATGGTATACCATATAAAAAGAAAAAAACTGTTTGAAGTAGATAAGTAAACTCTAATTCTAATAAATAATATGGGAAAATTGCAAACAATTATTGCTTGCGTTGGTGCCTCTGGTTAGTTAAAGAAAAATTTTCCATGACAACATATTTTCATTTAGAAAGAGAACATTTTAAAGAATTTCGCAAAGATATCAGACAAAAAAAACTGATGGAATCTGAGTGATGTGGGATTACTGCTTGTTAAATGCCTTGTCAACAGCCCAACTTGCCTCATTAACATTCAGCTTTCGAACTTACCAAGCTTTCCAAACAAGCTAGCTATCGAGAAAACTTGACATTGAAACTAAACGGATGCCTGGCGACCTGAGCTGACTCTTGATCCAAAGAACCTTTATGTTGGACATGGGGCAACAATGTTTTGGGGCACACTCCATGGGTACCAGTCAGGGACACCCCACATCTGATATGTGTTAGCCTCTAAGACCCTTATGGTGCATACAGGACGCTTCTGCAATTCAATGCTACACCTCAGGTAACACCAGCAATTATCATTGTAATGCTGCAGCTGGGATATTGTGCATTCCCAGCTCATGGACTGGACCATGCTGCATCTCTGGGTTCATTGCTCACTATCATAACGCTCACACATTCTGAGCCTGCCTGGAGCTCAGAGCATCCCTGCCAATGCATTGGGTTTTCGCATTTTGCTCCCTCAGCCAGAGGTACCAGCTTCCAATTACTGTGGTCTTGTCATGCCGTTTAGTGCAGACACAAAGGCTGGAAGCTCATCATAGTTGTCAGCAGACTTTAGTCGAGTCAAAGGGGATAGCCTTCACTCAGGGCTTCCCAGCAAAGTCAACAGCAGCCTTTGATACCAGCTCAGGAGCTTGAAAATGGCCAGTCAGCCACTTGGGATGGTCAAAGTTAGGATTCTCTCCACTTAAAGGGGGAAAAGTCTAATGTCAGGCAGCATCCCCTTCCCAACCCACCACCACCAGATGAGTAGGCAGCACAGAGGGCATGCAGAGTTCATGGTATTGGGGGTTGGAGTGGTTGACATTGAGTGAGGAAAAATGTAGGAATTGTTGAGAGTGGTAGAGCATGATCCTCTGTAGGGGATAGGTAAAGTAACAGAGATAGAAAGAGGGTGAGATATTGGAGAGAAGATGGCAGTGAAATGGAGAATATTATCAACCTTCGTCCTTCATTGCTGGGCATTGCTCCAGATGACTGAGGCTGTACTGACCGAGGCAGCAACCTTGGATGAGGCTGGCATGGTTTGGTATTATGACCTTCTCTGTTGGTCCTGGAAGAAGAGGAAATCTCTGTGACACACCATTCAGCAGATCTCCAGGTCCCTGCCCATACTGCAGGGCACGAATTTCGCATTCTGGACCAAATGGATAGAAACTTTGCAGAGCAGTTCTGGATAGACAGTGCTTGTCTGAGCGAACAATGAGCATGGGCACAAGGGATGCTGATGAATTCAGGCTGTCCGCTGAGTGGTGTGTTGTTCAGGTAATACTGCATGGTAAGACAGGATTGGAATCGAACATGATGAGAGTCACAAGGGCAGGCTTGATTGCTAACAAGGTGAGTTTGGTGAGATACAGTAAGAAACTTTGCTAGGCCTTGCAGTAGATATCCCTCCAAACAACTCAACCCAAATCAGGCTTAACCAAAAAAATCAAAAGATTCAGCCTTCTGACTTAAGAAATAATTAATTAGGATGCTCACCAAAAACTTGGGTTGAGAGGTGGATTTTAACAATGCAGTTTAAGAAATGTCTACAATTGGAGCGGCATAAGGCTTTAAGGAACAATTCCAAACTGCAGGGAACAACAGTTTCAACACCTAGCTTCCTGCTGGGTTTAAAGGGGGAAGGAGTCAAGACATAAGATTAGTTCACCACGATGGAGAGTCCACAAAGAGGCTACAGAGATACTGATGAGAGAGACAATGAAGGGAGCTTGTAAGCTTTAATATTGGAGGCACAGAGGGATCAGGAGCTAGTTTAATAAAGCAGGAATGCTGAATGAGTGAACCTTGGCATAGAGTAGATACAGACAGCAGAATTTAGAAGCACAGGCTGTGCTGGATAGAAGGCTGATAGTTGTGGTAGAGAATGGATGAGGATAGCCACTTTTGTGGTTTTAGCCAGAAGAGTCTTATATGTAAACAATAGTACATTTACTGCATTACAGCTACAATTTACAAGTTACATGAATATAGTCCACATTATCACAGAGACTATGAGGAGCACATGTGCCTCTGGTCTGTCCCAGACCAGCCCACACAAATCTTCCCAACACCATCACATTTGGTGGTGCCTAATGCACTCATTCACATAGTAAACCTTTTAAATTCTTTTCATAATACTAGTACTGTAACTTTTATTTTGCCTATCTATGTTTATCATTACTCCATCTCCCCCAAATCTTTGGTTTTACAAATGCAGACAATCTGGTGTGTTCCATGGAATTGTATGCACGATACTTTGATTTGTGTCAGTGGAGTTTGCATCCTGTTTGTAGATCTGTGCGGAAACAGTCAGGTTTATCACATTAACCCTTTAGTATTTTGCAGTATCTCCTTCCCACACAGCTATTAAATTATTGATGAAACTTGTTTGTTTGTTTTGCCACTTGTGTCATCTCGAGATGCATTCTTACTTGATGGGATACTCTTTGATATTGTTGGGGTTCTTCTTTGGAAGGTAGGGAGGTCTGCCAATTTTCTTGAACTTGTCTCTTTCTAATTGCCTAAGGCCCTAATGGTAGACTTAGATTAGACAGTTATGTTGTGTTGATTGAATTCAGTTACAAGTACGACCACTGTCTGTCTATTACTGTCAAGTGGTGTAACGTTTCAGTTTTACCTTTTCCTTTGTACTTTCCTAAAAGTTTGTTGCTACTTGGAATCTGAACTCTTTTCAGCTTTGAATACAATGGAAAATATTTCAGATGAACCAGCTATAGCTTTCCATCTTACTTAGGGTATGAAACAATTTTTTTTATTCTGATATAACTAACCTAAGAATATTCTGTTTTAGTTTAGGTTCCACCATGAACATAAGCATAGCAAAATTTTCTACAGGCTTTTCTTTGCCCTTGTGATATTTAACCTCTTTCACATTTTGAATGAGATTAAAGTGAATACACAACAGTCAACACAGGAGTAAATATTTTTGTTTGTAGAATACACATAAGGTTTTTATTATTCCCAGTGTTGGAAATTTCTTTTTCATTCATTCTAGGGAAAGATGTTTCACAGTGCAAATGACACTGGACTAGTAATTCAGGGCCCCAGCTAAAGCACTGGGGACATGGGTTCATGTAGGGAAA